TTTGTCTGAGACACCACCTCCTCCATGCAGCCCACCCTGGTTGGCTTCAGTGAGTCCTTTCCCTGTGCTTCATGTCATGTGGTTTCACCCTTCCTGATTATGAGCTGAGGCAGGTGTGCAGGTGAAGCACGGAGCAGCTCAAAGACTGTTCAAGCCGCACGCCCCTTAGAGCCTCCTTGGACCCAGGCTCCTGTCGTCCCTGCTTTTTCTGAAAACTGCATGCTACCCTCCCACATTTACGCTGCTTAGATGAGCTTTAGATTTTCTAGAAAGTGTGGTGCTGGATGGCTGTCCTCTGGCCTGGGCTGTTTTTGCCCAGAACTGGTCAAATCTGCAACAGATAGAGAGGAGGGAGGCTCCCTCGTACTCCTGGCTTGTTAAATCCAGGGCCCTCTACCTAGAACTTTCTAAGTGAAGACGGCCCTTACACATGGGGAGGGCTGTGTCAGCCTCTCTGTTCCCAGGATCTGCCCCACCTCAGGCACAGGGAGGGACAGTGGCGGAGCAGAGCTGCAGGATGTCCCTGACCTTCAGGTCTGTCCCCAGCAGGTGGCAGTGGCAGCAGACACAGGATCCGGGGACTCACTGAGAGCCGAGTGCCAGGATCGCTCTGCCTGTAAAGGCCAAGCCATGGGGAGGAGGGGATCGGCGGTACACAGCCCGCTTTGTCCTCTTGACCATGCTGGGAGGGAGGTCTCCTCACCCCATTTCACAGACCCGGGCCCTGAGACAAGTACACCAAGTACCTGGCCTCGGTCACACCAGAGTCACGTGCTCGTACCTGGCGGGGCTGGGACTCGAACCTGGGGAATCTGACAATCTGACTCCAGGCCTCGTGCTGCTAAACACTCTTGGAGCAAATGTTGAGCCTGCCCAGGTGCCCAGGGGCGGACAGCTTCCTTCCGTGTCACCTGACCTGTCGCTTGCCCGGCCCCTTGCCTCGCTCCCCTGCAGCTCGGCTCAGAGGGGCTTCTCACTGCATCAAGGGAAGGAGAGGGAGAGAAAGCCACTTCTCAGGCCACTAAAAACAAAACAGAAACCACAACACCAAAATTCTAAGCCACTGCAGACTTCCCCCCCCAAACTTGAAAATCGGCTCCCTTCCTTTGGAAGCGACGCCCCCTGGCTGCCTGGGGGCGCCGTGGAGACTGGACGTCCCACCGACGGAGAGAACCGACCGCCAGGGGTTTGTGTCTCTGTCTTCGAGTCCATTGGACTAAGCCGGGCTGCCCGCTGGGGACAGGGCGCGGCTGGGCTGCAGGCTGCCGGGGGAACACAGGTGGATTTACTTGATACGTAAGAATGCAACTGCCTGGGCCCACGGAGCAGTGGGGGGCCCGGGTCCCCCCAGCACTGGGAGCGAGCCGAGAGCACGCAGCGCGGGAGTGGGTTCGGGGGCGCCCGGGGAGGGCGGGCCTGCACGTCCTGGAGACGGAGCACCTTTTGAGGTGCACAAGGGCAGCAGCTGCTCACAGTGGACTTTTGGGGGGCCCAGGGGACAGTTACTAGAGACATGATTCTTGGAAATTATCCACTGCTGAGAAGATCCATCGTGGGATCCTCTTCCATTCAGGGAGCGTTCACTGAGTGCCTACTGTGTACAACCCAGGCACTGGGGGTGAGGGGGAAGCATCAGAGAACAGAGAGAAGAAACTTCCTGTCCTTGTCCTAACAGCTGCGCCTGGGCCCTGCCCCTGCCTGCAGCCGTCGCCTCGCCTCCCCTGCACACACAGCGCCCCCCCACCCCACCCCTGCTCTGCTGTGACCTGTTTCAGCTGCTTCTCTGTCCAGAATACCCTCCCTGCCCCTTTATCTCTCAACAACCTACCTGGACACCTGCTCCAGGAAAAGACAGGAAAGTACAAAATGCTTCTTGTCATTCCCCACGTGCCCCTCCCTGGATCAACCACCTCAGGGAGCCTCGACTCACCCCTGCACCTGGGCACCAGGCGGCCCCCAGGGCTTTGTAACTGCTGCCACCTGGTGGCCAGGACGGGCGTGGACTCTGTTCTGCAGCGCGTGAGGGAGGGGACGCCAACCAGCCACCAGGCGCAGGAAACAAAGGCCTCAAAAAGTGCGATGGCCTCAGGAATCCTCTCTGGGCCAACTGGAAAGTGCCTCTAAGTCCTATTTTCAATCAGATTCACACCACAACAGGTATTCGTACCCCAGGGGTTCGCCAGAGGCAGATCCCCCCAGCTCCCCCTTCCATGAATGTTGTCAACCAGGGCTGGGGCCAGGGGGCTGCAGGATCCCTGAGGGCAGCACAGCCAGTCAGGGGACAGCACGATCATTAGGAGCCCACTGGGAAGCGCTGCCAGGCTCAGCCTGAATGAGGCTGAAAGGTCTGTGTGGTCATTCACGCCTAAACCCAACGGCACCTTTAGACAGGGGACAAGGAGCCTCCTGCTGCAAGGCCCATCACTGAGCAAGTGCTCATGGCTCGAGTGCCTCCCACACACAGGACTTAGCTCAGTAACAAGAAGCCCAGGGTAGGGGACCTGGAACGTCCGTGCACATCCAGTCGAGTTGGGTGGGCGGGGCGGGGGTGGGGTGGCACAAGGGTAGCTTCTGCAGCCCGGGGCCCTGATATGCCAAAAGGAAACAGCTGTCACTCCTGGCAAAGGCAGCCACTAGAGAAGCCACCTTGGGTTGGAGGAGCAGTGAGCCAGGGCCAGAACTTGAGCTGCCAGAGCTCCCCGGGCAGCTGGGACTTAGGGAGAGGACCTTGGATACCGAGACCGCCACAGGCCAGCAGCATGGTGCCTGAGAGAGAACCCAGCGAGGCGTTCAAGTCCCCAGGCAAAGCACATGGCTGAAATTCAGGTGCTCCTGGGCCACCAAGGGGCAAGTGCTCCATCCACAGTGAAACTGCAGCACCTGTGGCCACCCTGCCAGGCCCTGCCTTCCGCCAGGTGCTCCAGGGACCCCATGAACCCAGGAAGGGCTCGCTTTGTTGCGCAGCCCGAGTCAGCCCTGCTGGACGGCCATGGCCTGCCTCTGCCAGCAGGTTCACCCGGCTGGTCTCTCAGGGACGCTAAGGACCCCTCTGTCCCCCTGGCCTGTGACCTGCTCAGGGGTCCACTGCAGGACAGACACTTCCACTGCTCCTGGGGCCTGGTACCTTGGCCCCTAGGTATGTGGATAACTAGTTCCGTTATGATTCCAAAGCTCTCAGTTCAAGAGTGTACCTAGATCATTCTGTGTTGGCCAGGTGAGGTTGGGGCAATAACTTAAGTCTGTATTTGTGCCCCCTTCACACTGTCCTGGGTTTCACCATGTGGTCAGGCCAAGGCTGGTGGGGGGCTCCTGGCTGAGATGGGGTCCCCACCTGTCCCCTCTAGCTTCCACATACAAAGGCCCTGGGCCCTGACCCCCACTCCAGCTCTCTGCACCCACAGCTACACGGCTCAGTGGTGCTGACATTTGAGGCCTGGAGGTTGCAGCTCCTGCTGTGTGAGGTCATTGCTGATCTCCCCACGGTGCATCCGTGCCCTTCAGATAAGTCACCCTCATGTACCCAGGAGATTCCTTTCCTGGATTTACCATGGGCGTTTATCGAGAAGGCAGCCACGCTCCTAAGCTGTGCTGCGGCACTGGGCCTCTCGCCATGCTCTGCAAAGTGCCATCTTCTTAGCCCTCCTGTGGTGCCACCAGAAGGGGCTGCTGAGCCACCTCGCCCCAGCCAAGGATCCATCCACAGGAACAAAGGGGCAGGGGCACGCCAGGGCCCGGGCTGGACACCAGCAGCACGTACCTTCGCCCTGTTCTCCAGCAGATGTCCAGTTAGCATGCCCGGCCCTCCTCAGAACGGGCACATGACAGGGGTGGCGACAATGGCCACAGTTGTCCATACCTGACAAACTGTCACCACCTGTTTAGCTCTGATGAAGGCTTTTTTGAGCATAACACTACGTATCCACGCACTCAGGCCTTGTTTAACCACCATGAAACCTATTTCATAAACGTATGCCCATTAGAACTGCAGTTTCATAAAGAGCACAGTCTAGATGACAGCCCAGCCAAGGCGGCTCCTGGAGGCCAGCTCTGTCCCTCCTCTGCAGCCCCAGACACAATTCCACCCTGTCATGCAAGTCCCTTTTGTGGCTACAGGCCACCCCTGTGCCCTGGCCACCCAAGCTGCTGAGCAGGGTCCCTGCTGTTCGAGGGATGCAGGAGATCACGCATCGTGAGGGCCATGGTTCTGCCTGCCACCGGGGACCCTGCTTGGCAATGCTTCCTCCTGTCCCGAATTAGGCGCCAGCCCACCATGCTGTTCCCTTGGCCTTTTCAACTATGGGACAGACCCTGCCGGGCATGATGGCAGTTTACCAAGAGTAAGCTCTCTGGACTGCCTTTGCCCCATCTCCCAAAACATCTATAAACTCACAACCATATCCCAAATGAAAAGGGGAGCACATAAATCTTCAGGAACTGTCTTGAAAACGTCCTTCAGGAAAAGCTGCGCAGCACAAATCCACTGATGGCTGCTGCCCCCTGGTGGCCTCCCCCCACAGGGCTTAGACATAGCCTCAGCCAGGAGGGCAACGGGGAGCGGGATGCCGGCAGGCCTCAGGGAGAGGTAGAGAGGGGACTAGGCAGGGGAGTAGCCAGGGACAGGGCACTGAACTGGTGGTGGCTCAGCCCTCTCTCCTAGGCAGGGAAGGAGCCACGTGTCCCATACACCCTGGCGACGTCCACCAATTAGAGATGTAGGGTGAATGGCGAGGTGGGGTGTGCTTTGTCCCAAGGCCAACACCCCTGTAGGGCCCACCCCTGTTGCTTGGGGAACACCCTCAGTAAGCGTACTCACCAGAGTAACCCTGTCCTCTTACCAGAGGGGACATGGATACTTCTGGAAGCCACTCTGGGAAGGAAGCAGGGTCCCCAGCAGCAGGGAACACAGATGCTCCTCTGCCCCTTCCCCTAGGGTGGGGCCGCAGCCAGCATCCCCGTCCACTCTCCAGGAACGAGACACAGTGCACTGGCCGACACCTAGGTGTTGTAGTGTAGCTTGGTTTTATTTATGTCCACAAATATTTCAAAAAAATTACAAAATACTCAAATGGAGAGAACACAGAAGTCACGATTTCTGGGTGTCTACTCTTTTACACTGTGTTATCTCATGGCAAACTACTCATATATACATTTAGCTTCAAGATATATATAAACGTAGCAAATCAGAATGTACACTCTGCTCTGCTTCTGCTGCAGTGAAACGTGAAGCTCAACCTTGACAACATTGAACAAGATACATACGAAACACAGAATAACAAAACCAAACTTCAAACAAGAGGAAGGAAAACCCAAAAGGAAACCAAGTGGTTGCGCTTCAAAGACACCATGAAGGTCTGCAGCCTCCTAAACAAACTGCAGGGGATCAGGTAAAGGTTTTAGGTTGTGGGGTTTTTTAATGGAAGAATCTCAGTGCTTCACCTTGGGCTATGGGGAGAAAACCAGAACGTAACAAGAGAACACCCTCAGACGGTTTTCAAGTACAGGCTTCAAAGTACTTCACTCTTTCTCTTCTTTGGAAAAATGGATGGTAGAGAAAGGAGATAAAGAAAGTTTAACTGAATGGCAGACGATGTGTTCTGCCAAAAAGAAAAAAAATAACAGGAGGGAGAGAAGGTGGCGGCACAGATGCAGGAGCCAGGGCAGCGGGACGTGCCTGCCTGTTCGGAGCCCAGTGGTAAGAGGCCCTACTCAGCCACGGAGAAACCTGCGGAGAAACCTGCGGCAGAACAGCCCGCCTTGAGGGCATGTCACCACCCCCAGAAGAAAACAAACACCTCTATGCTAAGGGGACCAGAAGTCTGATGACAAAGGATTGATCTGAGCCTGCATTACCACTAGGAACTAAAGTTAACGCAGAAATGGAATGAGATAAAATGAAAGGAGAAAAAACTACAAACATTTTCAACAGACAAAACAATCTATCTCAACTGAAACCAAACAGTTTTCATAGAAACTGGAAATGCCCGATTGCAGGTTTGAATCCAGAACCTGAATCTGAGCTAACACCTGCTGGTTTCTGGATCAAACTACCAGCCTCTCCTCCTGCCTGCCCCACTACTCGGCCTGGGGCCGGGACGCACTTCGTGTCCACTGACCCACAGTGTGGTTTCTTTTCTCTGACAATTCTTGGATGTGACCACCGAAACAGTGGCAGAAATGGCCCTTGAGACGCTGAGAGAAGAAGGGTGGGAGGGCCGTACCCTGGAAGGCGGCCTGACCAACAGGCACAGACGTCCCCAGACACCCCCAACCTCTGCTTCGGAAAAAGTGCATCAACATCGAACTCGGAATCCGGGGCCGCTCTGCTCTGGAGGGCTGGCCTCCTGACCAGCGCGCCTCCCCGGTGGAAGCCCGCTTTCCGACTTCACGTCTGCGGGTCGCACTCCAGCTCCTACTTCTAGCAGGAAGAGTGGGACATGGCTTCCCAGACCGACATGCGTCACCACCCAGACTTGCTCCTGGGCTAAAACTGCAGGCTACCACCCACAAGCGTGCTAACTCCAGGGTCTCCCTCACCCAAAAGCAGCCCCTGCTCTGTGGCCGGGATGACTTGGCTTGGTCCTCACCCCAAGAAGATCCAAACGATGACATGTATAAAGGGGCAGATTTCTAACAGATTCCTTTGGCAACCATATGTCCTGGGTCTTTCATGTGCTGAGTTATTTGTGTGGAATCATTTTCTTGAATTTTCTAGAATGTTTATGAAATTTTCAGAGTATTAAAAAAGGCAATTCATCCAGAACAATGAAATGTGTGTGCATAGAAATCTACAAGGAAATCTACAATCAGACACACACAGACATGTGCTCTCCACCCTGCAGAAACAGGACAACAGTGACACCAGGGGACAGAAAGTGAACACTAAAACTCCTGCACTCCTTGTGCAAAATGAGGTCGGAGATAACAGATGTCTGCATCGCAGGCAAAGCACATGCTAGGAACAGACAGAAGTGAAAGTCAAAGCAGCAAAACGAAGAGCTGTCACACTGTCCCTGCAAACCCCTGGATGCCCGCTGCCGTGGCCAAGCCTAGTCCCAAGCTTTCGCCCATTGTAACTGGTAACGCCCATCTGCTCCCTTTAATTAAAGGGATAATTATATATAACTTTTTATTAAAAAATCAACTCTGTATTCTGTCAATAGCTGGTGGGAATTCACAATTAGTGACATGGCTGGAAAAAATAGATCAGAATAGTAGTTTGTGGAAGGAAAAAAAGGCTGTTCTAAAATTATTTATTTACAGACATATAAAGCCATGCTGCAGAACTTTTCTCAAATTATGAAGATTTCCTACAATGTATTAAAATAAAAGATTTTTTAAAAATTATAGCTCTTGGATTCCAAACTCATATGCCGCCTATCTGCAAACCATGTGGGTTTTGGAACACGCGCAACGGAGCGTGTCTGACGCACAGTGAAGGGTGTGAAGTGGAGTCTAGCACCTACTGAGAAATCAAGGAAAAGAAAACTAAAGCCAAACCCCAAGATTGCAGGGAGCTTTCTGAATGTTCAGTCCAGTCCAGGACTCGCTAAGTTTCTGGGGGACTGTCATGCAGGGGGCCCAAGCCAGTCTCAGGGAACCCTCTTGACAAACGAACACTATGATGTGGGTACATTTTTAGTTGTGGGGTTTTTAAATATATAAAGAAATCTTTAGAAGATATTCTTTTTGCTTTTGCAGCTCCTATTGTATGTAAAAAGTCCTGTTTCTCCCCCCAAGAATTGGGGTTTCCACAGCCAGCGTTAACAAATAAATAACTTATAACTGCTTGTCACCTTCTTTCTTCAGTCGACTGAAAAGAAAAGGAAAGAATATTCAGCGTCAGGCCTGGAGAGGTGGATGGGGCAGGCTCAGAGCACCCCAAGGTGACAGGCAGGAGGCTGGAGGGTCCAGACACGTGCAGGCAAGGGCTCCTCCTGAGGCAAACGCAGCCCCAACCCAGCAGCCTCCCACATAGCTGACCCACCCGTCAACTGTCCCTCCCATGCGGGTGGCTCCGTGGGGGTCCCCTAGAGAGCCCAGTAGGGCCGGGGGGGGGGTGCAGGGACAAGAAGGAGAGCACCGTGGGTACACATGAAGTGGGCAAGACCCTGGCCTCAGACCTCCCCCTCTGCCTCCCTCCCTCCCTCCTCACCTGTAATAATCTTCCTGACTCGGTAGGTGGCCACCATGCATGTGGGGGTGTCCGTGCAGCCACTGCTGCTCCATGGCCAGTCTCTGCAGCTCTGCAGACTGGGCATGCATGGCCTGCAGCTGGTGGGCCGCTGACATCGGGGGTGGGATGGCCCCAGGCAGGTCTCGAGGGTAGGGCGCGCCTGGCAGACACAAAATAGCCTCCACTACAGAAACAGCCAGAGGACTGGCCAGGAGAAGCAAGGCACAGTGACCAGCAAGGAGGCCGGAAGAGAGCCTGCCCAGCACTCAAGCCCGTCCTTCCCACTCCAGGCCAAAGCCCAGTGTTTCTGCTTCTGAGAGGCCTTCTCCTGAGCCCCATCTACATTAGGGCCTCTGTTACTCTGTCACCAACCCTGCATTCCTGGCCTGCAGCAAGGCTGTTGATTATGCATGAATGGCCCCCAGCCCAGGAAGCCCTCTGAAAGCAGGAGTTTGCCTGTCTTGTTCCCACATGGATACGGTGGGTGAGACCCCACATTTGTTCAATACATGAAAGAATGAACGAATGAATGAACGAACGAACGAACGAACGAATGAATAGGGGAAAACAGACCAGACCTCCAATTCGACTCTCATATGGGACCCCCAACCCCTCCCCTATGGAAATCCTTACCAAAAACTGGATGACGAAGCATCTCGTGCTCATGGGGGGGCTGTCCGAGCAGAGGGTTGGGAAGGGTCCCGGGGGGATAGGGGAAGCGAGCCAGGTGAGGACCAGCAGTCAGGGGGTCAACCAGCGGGTGAACCGGGCCTGCGGAGCCTAAGAAAAGGACAAAAGGCCAGATGTAGGTGGTGCATAGCCCATTTGATGTTTGCCCACCTTGGCTAGAACTGCTACGACCTCCTCCTCACCCAAGCTGCCCCCGGTCACCAGGCCTGGATGCACCATCTGGCCGCAAATGATCCGGATCCGCAGTGGCTGCCCTACCACCTTGTGTGGGAGCTGCACGCCAGAAAGGTGCAGAGCTGGCCATTTAAGCACACATTTCCGCCTGCTCCTGAGCACGTCCTACGGGCAACACCCCTGCCCAGTGCTGCTGACTACCCTGGGCTTGTGAGGTCCACAGGAACCCACAGCCTTGCTCTGGCACCTCCTTCACCAGGGCTGCCTCCCTGCCCTTCAACCACACAACCCAAAGGGGGCCGGCAGAGCAAGTGCTGTGGGCCAGGGAGTCAGCTCACACCGTTCTCTCCTCTGCTGGCTCCAGACCGCACAGCTCTCCCCTCAGATACCACCACCCTTGCCCCCACGCCCCAGCTGGATGATGCATGAACAACGAATGGCTGCCTGTCCTCATACACTGTTTATGAGGCAGGTAAGGCCCCCAGCATGGCGCATCCAAGCTTCAGGTGCCAGGAGCACAATGGTGAATGCCCTCCTGTGTCAGAACTGGGCACACACGTAGGAGAGACACTAGGTGTCTCCAGGCAAGGTGGCTGCCCTCCTTCCCCCTGGGCCCTGCTGTGTCAGCTGTCCTCCTGCCCAGCACTGGAGACTGCGAGAGGGTGAAGCCATCTGAGCTGGACCCCCTGCACCCAGCCACCAACCCCATGGAGCACTTCGACCGGCAGCGCCCTCATCATCCCCCTGAATGCCAGCCCCCACCCTTTTGCCTCTTTCCACCTGGGGCCTGAACCCCTTCTAAAGGGAAGCCCTGCACGTAGGCTGCGCCACGGGACCTCCACACAGGCCCTGGTCCCATGGGGTGGGCACACCTGCCTACTTGTGAGCACAGCCAGACCTTCCTCTGGCTCCATCTTGCCAACCTACAGAGAGAGTGGGGATGTCAGCTGTGCCTACCTCTGTCTCAGGCCAGCCTTCCCCTGAGCTGGCCACCCAGTTGACCTTCAGGAGCTGCTGGGCAGCCCTGGCCAGGTGGGTCAGCTCAGTGTACTCAGTACACTGAGTACAGATGCCCTGCTCCCAGCCCCATTCCCCAAGGGAATAGAGGACTCCTCTTTATTTATAGAGGCAGGGTCTTGCTCTGTTACCCAGCCTATAGTGCAGTGTTGTGTTCACAGCTCACTGTAGCCTCAAACTCCTGGGCTCAAGTAATCCTTTTGCCTCAGCCTCCCAAGCAGCTGGGACTACAGGTGTACATCACCACACCCAGCTGAATTTTAAAATAGTTTTGTAGAGATAGGATCTTACTATGTTGCCAGGGCTGGTCTTGAACTCCCAGCCTCAAGTGATCCTATTGCCTCAGCCTCCTAAAGTGCTGGGATTACCAGCGTGAGCCATCCACCCAGCCAGGACTCCTCTAAGTTCTCCCTAAATGACAACCTACAGCTTCCTTGGGCAGCCCAGGGCCTTCAGCCACACCTTCTTTGGCTCCAAAGGCCACAAGGTCCGGTGGCCCAGCCCCAGTGAGCACAGGCCACTACCCACCACCCAGGCACAGGGCCAAGAACCCAAGCTTTAGGCAGGAGGCTGCAAGCGGAAGGCCCATGGGTGCTGCAGCTTTCTGGGGACCTGCAGCTTCGCAGAGCTGAGGGGCTGGGCAGAGACAAAGGTTGTGATAAAGCAAAACCACGAGTCCTAGGCGGATGTTGGATATTCTAAAATCTGCCAGGAATTAGGGATTTGCTCAGAAAAGAACACCCTGCTCTGAACAGTGACTCTTTTCTGACCAGGCTACGCCCCCTTCCTGCTCTACCCTGGCCGGGGGCACCCACCTTGGTGGAGGGGGTCCTGCTGGTGGAGGTGGAGGTGGGAGTGGATGTGCGAGTGCTGGTGGTGGTGCGGAGTCACGTTGAACATCTGCAGTCGGGCCAGGGGGTCACTGGTCAGCGACGCCATGCGCTCGGCGTGGATGCGCTCAGCCGCCAGTCTGTCAGGGTAGCTCATCTCCGGCCGTAGCTGGGGGCCCGCCAGGGCCAGTCTCTCCCTCTCCAAGGGGTTCAGGCCCGGGTGGAAAGAAGCAAAAGGGTGGGGGCCGGCAGTCGGGGGGATGGTGAGGGCGCTGTGCCGGGCGAAGTGCTCCATGGGGTTGGTGGCTGGGTGCAGGGGGTCCAGCTCAGGTGGCTTCACCTCGAAGCCTGGCTTCATCCTCTCCCGCAACTCGCGCTCCCGGATCTCCCGTTCCCGGATCTCACGTTCCCGGAGCTCCCGCTCGCGGATGGTGGGGTCGACGTTGTAGAGGCCAGGCATGTGGTAGGCCAACAGGGGGTCGGTGGGATTGAGGGGCATGTAGAAGGGGTGGTTGCGGTTGGTGGGCGACATGACGTGGGGCCGGGCATACTCGCTCAGAGTCCGAAGGGCAGGCGTGTCGGGCCCGATGTACGGGGGCACGGCAGCAATGGTAGTCGGTGGTGGCTCAAAGGATGGCCGCATGTGGCCGGGACCACTGAGCTGGGGGTCGCTCAGACGGCCTTCATGTGCTGAGCTGGACGCCTTCTGCAGAAGGAAAGGAGGGCATGAGGGGGAGACACCAAGCTGCTGGGCATCGAAGCCAGGAGGGCCCTGCCCTGCCCCACCTGCACTGACAGGCCAACCTAGTCCCTCCACCCCAACACACAGACCGTGTCCCCAGCCTTGGCCTGCCACCAGGGTGCCGCCCAGACCCTGCTGTAGCAGTCTCTCTTGTGCTTGCAGCTGCCCGCGTGCCCTTGGCAGGTCAGTGTGCTGTGAGACGGGTGACACGTATATCTGTGAGTGGGACTGGTGGGGGCCCGTGCCGGCGAGCCTAGCAGGCCAGCAGCCTCTCCCCAAGGCCCTCACACGTGTCTCAAGTCGGCTCCCCATTCACCCCACTGCAGAGGCAGGCCCGGGGGGACCCAGCCTCTGAGGGGCCACAGGGGAGGGCTACTAGAGGCTCCCATGTGGCCTGGCTCCACCCAAGGGCCTGGCTCTCCCCCTAGGTCCTCCCCTCATGTTTCTCTTAGGCTCCTTCAAATGACGGAGGAGACACGAGTCCACAGGCTGCAGAGGAAGGACAGCCCTCTCCCTAAAGGCTCCAGGCAGGTGGACACCCAGTCACTGCTCTGAGTCAGCCTGGACCAAGCAGCGCAGGGCCGCGCGGCTCCGTGAGAGCAGCCCAGGAAGGGGTGTAAACAGCACCCACCCTCAAGCTGCCAGGTGTGAGCCAGGCAGCCTCAGACAGAGCAGGGCAGGCCCAGTATGGCTCCCAGGCCTGGGGGCCAGCGCCCCCCTGCACACGCCAGCCACCCCAGGACTCACGGCTGCTCGCTCCGCCTCTCGCTCCCGCTCCCGCTCTCGCTCGCGCTCCTTCTCTTTCTCCTTCTCCCGCTCCCGCTCCTCTCGGGCTTTCTGCTCGGCCTCCCGCTTGGCCTTCTCAATGGCCTCTTCCCTCTTCTTGGCCAGTTTGGATCCAGCCAGAGGCATGAAGTTCAGGTCTGTCCGTGCACACGAGTTGTAACCCCGGTCCAGGTGCTTGTAGAACCTACGAAAGGCCACATCTCCAGCTGGGAGCTCCTGCCAAGGCCTCACCCTGCCCTGCCCCCCACCAAAACCCTGCCTGCCCAGCCAGCCCCGCCTGTGCCCCTCCAACCCGGGTTCCTAGGAGCCGCTACCTGGCCGACTGGCTGGCGTGGCTAGGGGTGTCCACCACAGTGGGCTCAGGGGAGGGGCTCCTTGGTGGGGGAGGGGGGCTCTCAGGCTCCTCAGCATCATCCAGAGCCTCCTCCTTGATCTGGACAGCGGGCAGTGGGCAGGATGCTCCCCCCGGCATGCTGCCCCCTGAAGAAACGGCAGCGGAGCAGGGCAGCTGGGCTGAGGTGCTGGGTCCCGTGGGTGGGGTGGAGGTAGAGGAGCAGGTCGGAGGAGTGATGGGAGGAGGCCCTCCAGGGACAAAGGGGTGCTGAGCAAATGGGGGCTGGGGAGGCCCCTGGTGGAGGCCTGAAGGAGGATGGGGGGCAGCAGGAGGGGGCAGGCTCTGGCTCTGGGTCAGCCCAGGGGGCTGGGCGGGGGAGGAGGGCAATGGCTGGCTCTGAGGCATGAGCTGCAGGGGCGGAGGGTGGGCTGAGGGGGGGTGGTGTGTGGACAGGGAGCTCAGGGGCTTGAGGGCTGGAGGGGGCGGCAGGTTGGCATTCATGGAGAAGGGCGAGGGTCCTGAGAGGTGGGGTGGGTGCTTGTGGGCCTGTGGCGCCGGCAGCTGGGGGATGGGCGTGGTGGGTGGGGGCTTGATGTGAGGCATGGCCAGGGGTGCTGGCGGCAGGGGCTGCTCCCGCGGGGGCTGCTGGGGCTGCAGGGCTGACTGTGAGGCTGGGAGCTGCAGGCTGGTGTGAGGGTGTGCTGCCGCTGGGGAGGCCCCCAGAGGGGCCTGGCCTTGAGGGCCCTGAGGAGGGAGGCCAAAGGGCTGAGGGGGGCCTGGGTGCTGCAGCAGGGGCCCGGCCTGCAGGCTGTGTGGGCCAGGCGGGCCCTGACCGTGCAGGGAGGGCTGGGCGTGAGGGGGCGCAGAGGGCTGGCCCGGCGGCCCGGTCAGCGGCTGCAGCGGGGGGTGTGGCGAGGGCAGCCGCTGCGGGTGCAGGGCGGGGGCCTGCTGGATGTGCGTGTGGGGAGCAGGCACTGCTGCAGCCTGTGGCTGGTTAGGGGGCTGGGGGGCTGCAGGGGAGCCCTGGGCGGGGCCTGCAGTGGCAGAAGGTGTGGGCCCTGGAGTAGGAAGCTGGGGTGTTCCTGGCGGGGCCGTGGAGGGCACTGGGGTGGCCCCACTGGGAGCCTGCAGGGCTGGGGGCTGGGCCTGCAGCATCTGCTGCTGTGCTGATGAGTCTGAGTCACTCTCATTGTCCTGGGGGCTGGGGATGCTGGGGGACGTGCTGCGATTGTCCTGGTCGATGTCTTTGGGGTCACTGCTGCCCTCATCGTTGACGCTGCGACTGTCCGAACTCTCTCCCTCGCCTTCAGATGGTGAGTTGGGCCGGCTGATCTCCTAGAGCCAGAGAAGGGAAGGATGGAAGCCCTAGGAGGACAGAGCCTCTCAGCCCTCACTGACCATGCCTGGCACACAGCAGAGGTCTGTGCAGAGGCAGCAGGACCACAGGTCCTGCCCTGACTCGGCCAATGTCAAGGGCCACTCTAGCCTCCACCCCACACTATCCTGGACCCTGAGCTCAAGCCCTGCCCTGCCAGCCCCCAGAGAACATGGGCCGTGAGCTTCTCAAGGAGCCTGAGCTCCAGGCAGCAGGCCCTGCTGCAAGCCTCACCTGGGTCTTTGTCTTCTTGGAGCTGATCCTGTCAGCCTCCTCAGTGTCGGAGGCCACCTTCTCCCGCTGGCGCTTCGTGCTCTTAAGAGGGGACGAGGCTTCTTCCTTTGCCTTCTGCGGTGGGAAAGTCCACAAGGAGCAGTCAGGCCAAGGGAGGACGTCCCATCCGACTCAGGAAGGAATGACTGCTGTTTGTGGACACTACCCGCTCATTCTAAGTTCCATCTCCAGAAGCAAGAAATCTCTAGAAGGGGCCACCCAGGGCCAGGAAGGAACAAGTATCCGGGATGAGAACTAAAGTTGGCCCTCCCTATCTGTGGGTTCTGCACCTTCCGATTCAACCAATCGTGGATTAGAAACGTAGTTAGGACTGTGATGGCCGCGTCTGTACGGCACGCGCACAGACCAGACGTCTTTCTTTCTCGTCATCATTCCCCAGGCGATACAGTGCAACAACTATTTACACAGCATTTACACTTTAGTAGGTATTACAAGTAATCTAGAAATGATTTAAAGTAAACAAGAGCATGTGTGTAGGTTACAGGCAAATACTTCACCACTTTGTATCAGGGACTGGAGCCTCTGTGGATCTGGGGATCTGTGTGGGGTCCTGGAGCCGATACTCCGTGGATACTGAGGGACAACTGTACTTGGCTTTGAGGGGAGGGAGCCCGCCCAACCACTCCCCTTGAAGGCACCCTCTGGCTTGCCTGAGGAAACTCAAGGCAGAGGTGGCCCCAAAGGTCAGCGCTGGACCCCCCTTTCTCCAGGCCCCCGGCCTCCACGCCTGCAACCCATCCCCAAACACCAACTCCAGCAACCCAGTTTTAACGGGAGGGACAGGCTGAGGACTCCCCATTACCCGCCCCAGCACCTGACCTTGGCTGACTTCTTCACCGTCTCTGCTTTACTGTCATTGCTGGAGGTGCTGGCAGCGCTGGGGGAGTTCCGGCCGCTGGAGCGGATGTCTTCATTGATGGGTGAGGCGCGACCATCAGGGCTGGCTGGCTGCTTCTTCCGGCCACTGCGTAGTGTCGACATCTGCCCACCCAAACCAGAGGCTGGTGACACTGGATCCCCAGTTTCCACATGGGCCCACCTGGGCCCAGCCATAGGCAGGAGCCTGAAGAGTAGCCACCGCCACCATTCTCTTAGCAGATGTCAGCCCCTGGCAAACAACAGGCACCCTGGCCTGTCCCTCGCTGCAGAGGTCAGCACGGAGCTGTGGGAGGGGGTAGGTGGGCTCCCACTGGGAAGAGAACCATTCTCACACCCAAAGCACTCAGCCTGAGGGACGTCCTGAACGACGAATGCTACACATGAACAAGGCTTTCTGAGAGGCAGGAAACTGGCGTGGGCCACCTAATCTGACACACAGAAGTCATCTCTAAAGCACCTCCCCTTCTGTTTATTCCATGTACCTGCCCACTCTTCCCAACCAAATCAAACATGTGGGAACTTAATCTCACAGGACAGGAAATGACCCAAAGAAACGAAGCTGTCAAATAACACAGCTAAGCTCCCAAACCACTGAGCACTTCAGCATCTTTCTGCAAAGCCACGAGAGCTCAGAAGAGGGCATGAGAGTCAAGGCCGGCTCACTTGCTCCATTCTGAGCGAGCAGTGGTCAGGCTGCCAGCCCCACCCACCTGCCAGAAGGGAAACAGGCAGGGGAGGCCAGTGCTAGATGAAAGACCCTGTTAGTATTCTAGGCCCCAAACCTGGGAAAACCCTCTCCCCAAGTCCCTGCCACCCTTTCAACCTAAGAAACAAAGCCTTTTTATGGAAGGTACTATGCAGTGAGTAGGAAAATGTACCAGAAAGAGCCTGTAAGTTGAAAAGAGCAGAGATATGCCACACTGGAGGTGACGAGTCCACAGGCTGGGGAGAGGTCTGAGGAACTTAGAGAGCCTGCACTGGGCCAGAAACCCAGAGCTCTCTGCCAAACTAAGCTCAGGGCGTGTGCCCCACGGACCCCCAAGAAGAGAAAAGAGAGCTCCTCCCAGCCCCAGAAAAGCTGCTGCCTCTGGACAAGACGTTTCACCTCCAGGGTTCTGTTTCTCTACCTAGACAAAACTTTCACTCCCCGCTGGAGGACACAAGCCCCCAGCATTCCAGCAACCTGGAGAAACAGTCAGGAGCCCCGCAGACACAGGGGACTCACCGAGCCCCGACTCCGCCGCGTCCTCATGCTATGCTTCCCACTGAGCCCATCGTCCTCCTCCTTGACGGGTTTGAACATGAAAGGTGGGGGATCCACAGGCTTCTCAATGGGCGGGAGCTCGCCGTATTTTTTGAAGTGGATGCGGCAGTCGGTGCAGAGCAGAATATTCTCCCGGCCCCCGTGGTGCCAATCTTTGGAGGCTGCGTTGAGGGGAAGGAGGGATGCAAAATGCCAACCTTGGAAACTATCCCTCTCCCTGGGGACATCTGGGCATAGGGGGACCTGCTATGGGCTCCAACCAACCCTGGCGCCACCAGAACCATGCAGCACTAGCCTTGGACAGGCACCTGTTACTTAGACAACCCAGGGGCAGTGCTGCCCTACTCTCCCCCAGCACCGGGAGAGGGTGTCAGGAATGTCCACTGGCCTGCCTCAGCTTGGCGCTTGTAAGAGGAGCTGGCAGCAAGCTCCTAGGAACCACGGCGCTCCCACCATCCCCGCTCGACCAAGTCTGGCCTTCCTACTGGTCAGTATTCTGACTGCTAAATGGGGGAGTGAAGCAAAACAAACTAAAACAAAGATTTCTAACTTTCTCAAGTAACCGCAAAGGACAATGCAAATGTCAAACCAATCACTGCTCCTGGCATCTCACCAGTCAGTGCACCAACTGCTCAGAACCCGCAAATGCCCGAGCACGACCTGGCACAGTGAACACGCCCCTCCACCTCCACCACGGCGCATGACCAGGCTACTTACTGGTGGTGAAGCAGTGGCGGCAGGCGTACCCCTTCAGCTCCTGCTCACTGTCCTCGCTGTCGAAGTCATCCTCGCTGGCTGAACTGAGGTCCACTGGACATGGCAGGCACAAAGCAGGGAGGGGGAGACACCATCATGCTCAGCCAAGACCTGGGGCCACCCTGTGACCTCTGGCTTGCCCAGGGTTCTGAGCCACCTGTCAGAGAGGCTCCATAGGCCGATGTGTGACAGTGTTCATGAAAGATCACTTCAAATTCCTCAGGGTCGGTCACAGAACAAAGAGCCTGTGTGTGAGGGGCGGTGTGCAAGGGCCTGCCCTGCCAGATTTTTGGTGGCTGATGTCACACCTGAATCCTGGGGTAGCTGGCACTAGGGCCTACATCTGGTGAATTTAAACTGGGAAAAGTTTAAAATCCATGCTGTCTTCCCTGATATACCTCACTCTGTTGCCTACGCTAGAGTGCCGTGGTGTCAGCCTAGCTCATAGCAACCTCAAACTCCTGGGCTCAAGCAATCCTCCTGCCTCAGCCTCCTGAGTAGCTGGGACTACAGGCATGTGCCACCATGCCCGGCTAAATTTTTTATATATATTTTTAGTTGTCCAATTAATTTCTTTCTATTTTTGGTAGAGACGGGGTCTCACTCTTGCTCAGGCTGGGTTCGAACTCCTGACCTTAAGCAATCCTCCTGCTTCAGCCTCCCAGAGAGCTAAGATTACACGTGTGAGCCACCACGCCCGGCCTTAATCTGATCTTATTACTACCAAAAGCGCAATGAGAATTTAAACCATGCCTCATCCACTAAGTGGAAAACCTCCTCAGCCCAAGGCCAAAATACATCAGGCCAAGGCCAAAACTTACATTTTTATAAAAACTTAAAATGATGTTCAGTTTATCAGATATATTTGAATGTACAAATAATTTTTACAACTCTGCCTACTAAATCCCACCCCCACCCCCCGTCAGTGCCACATTTAGGTCGGGCCTCACACACGCACACACGTGTGTGCACACAGGCACACCCTCTCCACGATTCCCCGGCGCACTGTGGTGCTAAGACGCTCACTTACAGAATTCACTGGAAGGGGGTCTGGAAGGCGTGTTGACGGGTGTGGACGCAGTTCGAGTCTTAATCCTCCTGAACACAGCCTGCCTGCGGTGCCTGCGATGGGCGCGGGAGCTGGCTGCTTCGGGGGTTTTCTTCCAGTAGTAGTAGAAGGTGATCAGCTCCCCCTGCGGGAAGGACGGGCTGGCTGTGAGGAGTGTGCGGGGCGCTTCGGCTCTTCCACGACCCCACCACACCCCTCCTCTGCAGGGAGAGAAAGCTGGGTGTGTAACAGCTGTCCTAGAGTCTCGAGGGGGACCAGGCCCGCTCAGGGAACACAGCCGAGGCAGCATGAGCGGGGCCTGCCTCCTAGATGCCAAGAGCACTCGCTCGTCCAACAAGCGTTGTTGGGTGTCCCCTAAGTGCCCGGTGCCACCGCTGCTCTAAGCACAGGGGCACAGCATCAACAACAGACCAAAAAACAAAGAAGACAGAAGATTCCTGCCTTCGGGGAGCACACATTCCAGCACTGTGTGTGTGTGCCTGCAGGTGTTTTCTCCACAACATCACAGTGAAATCACACAGGTGTGAGAAGGAAATAAAGGCCCGGGCTCCTGCGAAACAACTGGCCAGTCGAGGTGCTGGGGGACTAGGCCAAGTTAGGTCAGAAGGACAGAGGCCCAGCCCAGAAAGACTGCTCTCCGACCTCCCGGTCCCATCCCATGCCCGGGCAAGCTGGCACAGAGTCCTGAAGGCAGGGCCAGGGCTTGACAAGGAAAGACTAAGACACACAACAGCGCTGATGCACAGATGAAATGTCACACGTCACCAGGACGGCCTTTATGGCAAAAAGAGCTATTCTTTTCATAACCCAGCACAAAGGGAGGAAAGATATCATTTTAACAATACAGCAAATGAGACTTTTTAAAGAAAGGGCATCTGTGGCACCCCCATTCCCTCAGCTTCTGCAGGCTCCTCTCACCCCACACACAAATGGCATGTTCGGCTAACCCTCGCTGAATAAAGACCAATTTGTTACAACAAACATCTCAAGATAAAGTCTCCTTACCTGGAATTAAAAAAAATTTCACAGCAGTGATAGGACCTATATCACACTGCTCTTCTCTAATAAATCAACATTGTAGACAGTCAATTAACTTGATGAACTACCAGATCCTGGGACGTCGCCCTGGGTGTGTCTGTACCCCTACTCTCTCACCATTCCCTGTGTTGTGAATGTAGTAGCCAAAAAATGAGAAAGCAAAGATCTTCTCCAGTAACCTGAGATGTAGCTGAAAAGACTCGTGCTAGAAGGACTAAAATAGATAAGCCAAAGACACGCAGCTGTCATGCGACAAAATCTTGTGATTGTCAAGAGCACCCAATCCAACCAGGTTTCATCCAAAACAGCCCCAGAGGCAATGGCCTTAGAACATAGTAACAAGAGAAGTGGGTAGACTTTGGGTGGAGAAATGGCTTCTGCAAGGTAATGGCTTCTGCAGGTAAATGCGTATGTGCAGAGCACTTGCTACCCAGAGCTGGATGTTAGGCCTGTGCATTTTTGTGAGAAGTGGGACCGCAGCTGTCATCAGGTCCTTAAAGGAGTGCAAGAACTTCTAACTGGCCTATCGTACACCTATGGCATGTATCTCTTAGAGCTTTGAATGTGTTTCAACCTTCCCAAGCACTTAATGCTCAACAAAATGCCAACACTGAACAGATGAAGCACAACGCCAGGCCAACGTGGTGAGGGAGCCAGCTTCCAAGGAAGAGCACATTCATGTCCCTACAGGTACACACAGGTCCCCACCCCTCAATTCCATGACATGGCAAGTGAACGATGAGGGAAAATACAGACACTGCCCTCGGAATTTCTGACTCCTCTATCATATCCTATGCTGCAAACGCAGGCTACCGCTGACCCAGAGTGACTGGGGCATCCTGAGCCCCAAGGTCATGATCTGGGAACCTCCTAGCTCCTGCCACGTCACTTCCCATCTTCCTGACTTGGGAATGCACTGATCTATAACTGATCCCTGGGTGCTGGCTGGAGGGAAAAGACTCATAAATCCTGCTAGGGAATTCAGAGACCTCTGCTAACACAAAACTGACGAGGCCGTGGTATTCCTATGAGAAAATATGGAACAGAAGTCAAGGCAGGGCAGGTCACTCTCCAAACACTCTTTCAGAGCAGCATGTTCATCAGCTCAGAAGGGTGGCTCAATCTGAAGCTTGAAAGAAGCATGGGAAAAAACTCAAAGTGGTTCCTTCCACCTCCTCCTTTAGCCGGAGTCATTTTACAGGCCATCAAATAAGTAGTATGGAACCCATACTACTAAGTGAAGTATCCCAAGAATGGAAAAACAAGCCTGGGATGTAAGAGGAAATACGAAGCTAACAGGAGAAGAAAGGGAACAAAATTCAGAGAGAAAACCCTGGTAGGAGGGCACTGCTTGGGTCTATGCCCAGCCTCAGAGTCTTACTTGAGGCTGTTAAAAAGCAGCCACCCTGACATTTCTAAATAGCATTTGTCTGTAATGCAATATTGCTTCACGCAGTTACAATCGATTATTTCTATTTCTCAAATATGAATGCTTTGAAAGAGTCTCAAAGGGTTTTAAAAGATAGCATAACTTGCAGATTTAAAAAAAGGAGAAGCCAGGGCTCAGTGAGGCTAAGGAACTGGCCCAGTGCCAGACCAGACAGCAAAAAGGCTCAGAACAGCCAGGCTGGCCTTTTCAACCTGGACTCTTACACCTTGTCCTCTGTTAGCATGTAAGAAAATCAAGACCCCAAAGAAGTAAACCTAAACATTGAAATCAACATCAACTTTTAGTTAAGACTTAAGTGACAGTTTCTGAATAATAATCAGAAGTCCAGATTCCATCAGCAGAGTGCCAAGGATCAAAATGACCAGGCAGGAAGGACCCTCCTCCGCAGCTCTGAAATCACAGTTGATGAGAAAATGAAAGAATATAAACTTAAAATTCAGGAAGGTGTGGGAATGACTCGAACTGTCACACACTGCTGGTGGGAATGTAAAATGATCAAACGACTTTGTAAAAACTATTTGCCAGATGACATCTACCACATGACCTAACAGTTCTACTCGTAGTTGTTTACCTAAAAGAAATAAAAACATGCTCACACAGGCTTTCACACAAACGTTCACAGGAACCTCATTCTTAATAGCCCCGAACTGGAGACAACCCAGATGCCCACGAACAGGAGGATGGATAAACGGATTATGGTATACCCATCCTCTGGAATACTACTTGGCAATTAAAGGAACAAATTACAGATACACAGACAGATTTTAAAACATCATGTTAAATGAAAGCAGCCAGACACAAAAGGGTGCCCACTGTATGATTCTATCTTAGAAAAGGCAACTCTATAATCACAAGAAACCAAATCAGTGGCTGCCTAGAGCCTGGAGGGTGGGGGACAGGAAACTGCCTGTAAAAGGACCTGAATAAACATTTCAGGGTGATGGAAATAGTCTATAAATTGATTGTGGTGTTATTTACATGAATGTATACAGTTGTCAGAAGTCAATGAACTGTGTATTTAAAGTGGGTGCATTTTTGTGGTGTACATTCCATATACCAATTATATGTCAAAAAGACAACAAATCCAGGCCAGATTTTATTAGCTGCCTCTCAACCACTGTAATGTCTACCAAGGGATTAAACACTGGAATGGAGCGAATCTAGGAGGATTAGAAACAGCATATTGGTGACTGCATGGGTGGCGAGGTCTTGAGCACAAACAAAAGAACATGTCGGGGAAAGCTTTGGTTCTACAAATAAGGAGTGAAGCAGCTCGCGGCCTCACCAGGAATGAAGTCAATTGAACTTTAATCAAACATGCATAGTGTGTGCTGCAGAGACCCGCTGCACATAAATTCAGGGAACAAAAGCTGTTGCAGAAATCAATAGCTTACTGAAACATTAACACAGGCAATCATTGATCAAAAGGCAGCTCTACAAAGGCAGCCTTGCAAATTAGCTCCTGCTTTTGTTTGCAAGCAAACACAGAGGTATAATGTTGTTGACATGAATGGCCTATAATGATCATTTTGTTCCCGATGCTCTCACCTCATCTCACAACAAAGTCTCACAGTCAACACATCTTATATCTTGGTACTATAATTGCACACAGCATGAGGGACTAAACCGGTTCACTAAACTGGTTAGTGCCTGGACAAAAAAGGGAAAAGAAAGGGGCCATCTCCAATCAACAATGTTACAGGCTGCAGCTTTTGCTAAGAAAAGTGCTCAACTTCATTGGTGTATATTTAGCAGATTCTCTCTCAACAACTCCTTTTTCTTTTTTTGGGTGGGGGGAGGGCTAGATTTTCTCCACACATCATAAACAAAAAGCCATTGGCAATGACTTGAGCTTCTAGCAGAGAGAGAACAGAGAGAGACAGAGTTCATAGGATTGATCTTTAGCTGTTATTAGGAAATTGCAAGATTATTTTCCTGTTATTTCAGCAAGGCTGCCCCTTTCTTTCTCCCTCTTACGGGACCTTGGGGGAGTGAAAGTGTAGAACAAACTGTTGAATGGGGAAGGCACTGGAAACCTTCTGAGTATCAAAGACTCATTCTTAGCAAGTCCCTAGTATTGGGCCTAGGCTCTCTCTTATTCCCTGGCCTAGCACTAAAACTCTGCAGACCCTCTGGGAGGCTAATGTAGAGGCAGGAAGAGGTAAGGCAGTTATTTTGTCCCATATTAGAAGCATAGGGTACACCTAACATTGAGTCCAAATTTTTTTTATAACTCTATTATTATTACCATATTCCCCAAAGAAGTCTGGGTATCCCCTGATGAAGGGGTGAAGGTGTGGTCGAAGGTAAGTTCTAGGGACCCCAGCTGGCCTTTTGTTTTTTGAAACATGGTCTTACTTTGTTGCCTGGACTAGGGTGCAGTGATGTCATCATAGCTCACTGTAATCTCAAACTCTTGGGCTCAGGTGATCCTCCTGTCTCAGCCTCCCCAGTAGCTGGGACTACTGGCGTGCACCATCATGCCTGGCTAACTCCCCCCCTCCCCTTTATAGAGACAGGGTCTCACTATGTTGCTCAAGCTGGTCCTCCAACTCTTGGGATCAAGCGAAACTCCCACCTCAGCCTCCCAAAGTGTTAGGATTACAGGCGTGAGCCACTGTGACTAGCCTTTTTTC